TATGAAAAATGTGTGACTTATTTGCTTTTATTGGGTCTTTCTCCAGTTTTATTCAGCTTAGTTTTGGGTGTTCTGAGTAAGTGCTAGCCAGTAAATGGTACACGCCAGAATTCAGAATTTCCCTTCTGCAAACCATTTGCCTAAACTATGAGTTAACCAGTTTTCCCATGAAAATGGTAAACAACGCTACCATATCTGAAGTTTTCAGAGTCCTTTTAGAAATGCTACTGCATTTGCTTAAAGATAAAAACAGAGCGAACTTCAGAAAAATCAGGAAACCAGGGCACGGACCAGCTCTGTGTACTGAGAAATGGTTTAATAACAAGGTGGCATCAGCTGTTGTAAGCTGAAACAGGTAGAAAAGTTTTCAGAGGTCAGGAAATTGTGGTTTCCTTTAGAAAAAAAGGGCGGCTCCAAATGGCTCCCAAGCCAGTGCTTAGGACTCAAGACTGAGCAGTCAGGAACCATGCTATAGGCTAGCATCCCATCCAGGGAGAATGAAATGCTACAGAAACAAGAGTTGAACCCAGTCTAGTAGACTATTGGTTCAGCAGTAGCATTAAATATTTCTGTTGTATTGGACACAAGATTCTATAATTTAACTTATTAGTTATGAAGTATTCTTCTATGATCTAGACAATACAGCTTTACAATCAGATGTAAACTAACTTTAGAAACCAGTTAATATATTGTGAAAACTCCAATACCCAAATGAACAACTGTTCTAAGATGGTGTATGAGCTGACTGATCATGGGAAGTTTTCTTTCATAATTGATTGAGGCCATAGTCATGGAAACTTGATGCATCAGCTGGGACACTGTTCTTTTAGACTTTGTTTGATTTTGAAAAAAATTTATAAATATCTAGTTTAAAAAGAAAAACCAAATGAAATTTTATTTGTTATATAATGTAGTAGCTGGTTTTCTTGCTAATATCCTGTCCACCAGTATACTCCTGGCTACACTGTTGTTTGTCGTGACATAGTTCCTGATTGTGCAGGAAAGACCATGTGACTTAAAGAATGTAGGTTCACAATAGACTGACAAGTTATGTAATCCTTTATGTCCTAAGAATGCTTCTTATCAAATTTCTTCTTGCGATATATGCACAATCATTAGAAAAGATTATGAGAATTTGAAATGTGATCACAAAGGAAAATTGCCTTAAAATAATTTTGCATTCTTTCAACTAAATTTACAGAATTGTACTGGTTTCAGTAAGGAAAACCTCTTCGTTGACTGTGGTACTTGCACTGCCAAATTACATGTCAGTAGTGGCAGGAAAATTTAAAAAGGTTAGCATTGCAGGGGAAACCTATTATAAAGGAAAGTTCAGAACTCAATACATTTTTAATTTATTTAGTACTTTTTTCTGTTGGAGCACGGATTTGTAACTTTTAGACTAGAAATGTAATGGACAATAGCATGTAGCCGGAAATAGTTTTATTTCGGTTGAAAATGTTATACAGTGTAATTATTAGGTGTAATAACAGCCTAGCCAGGTAGTGTACATTTACACGGCTAAAAAATCTTCACAAGTCATCTTATAAAATCGTAGGCACAGTTTGTTGGTACTGTATTTAAAAGAAAATATTACTCTAGATCCAATAAAAATATTTTTCTCGCCATAAAAGGAACATTTCAATGAAGGAAAGTATTAGTGATAGACTGCTGGTAGTCTTGAAATCAAGCAGAGATTACGAGGCGAGCGTTTAAGATCAGAGGGCGGGACCACGCCTTTGCGTTCGCGCTCAGGGATAAACATTTTTCGAACATTCAGAGAAACGACCAGCTGCCAGCAATCTCGGGAGGGGGTACTCCCAGAAAAATTGGGTGGGGTTAAGCGGTCCGCTTCCCAAAACCCTTGCCCTATTTATGACCAAAATCTGCGATTTTCTCTCCCCTATTAGTAACCTGACCAACAATTTGATATCCTGTTTATGACCTTTGCGGCTGGTACAGTTTCCCTAAACATAATTTATGAAGCGCTTTTGCTGATGGCCTTATCGATAATGATGAAAAAGTAGCTTCTTCTGAAAAAGCATACTTAATTCAAGACTAGATTGCAAAACCCATACCCTATTGATGACCAAAATGGCTAAAATCGATTCCCCATTTATGGCCAAAACGACCGAAAAACCATACCCTTTGAGACCCCACAAAACCTGGATAACCCATATAAGGGAGTATTCCCCCCCGCCCTCGGGCCAGCAGTCTACCACAGTGAAGTACAGCTTGGATACTTTGTTGCCCCATTTCAGACCATGTGATGATATTCTTGAGAATTCTTGCTTTCAAATTTTGAAACAGTCGCGTGTGTGTAAGAATGAACATTTTTTAGATGGATAAAGGAACAATTCTCTGGAAAATATCACGTGATCTGTGATCAGAAAGCAAACCACCCAAGCGAAAAAGTTCTATTAGCAGTGTACTGGGTTTTTATCACATAGCCATTTGCGTAACATTCCATGACTGACGGGCATAATAAAGTACATTCAGCAACTGACTAGCACAGCCGATTCTTGGGCGTGGTTCAAATGGGAACCTTAAAGTTTGACGTGGTGGCGAAACGCGTCGGAATCCAAAAAAAGTGGAATTAATAAAGCAGCTATGTTCTTTAAAGATACCGCAGCCGTAAAAACCCTGTAGGCGATATGGACTTGACTGGTAAGTGAGATTTCAACTGGCCACCATCCAAACTCTCGCGTTTACAGGTCGGCGGACACGAGGGGACTAGTCCTTGCGACTAGTCCCTGCACACCGAGTCCCCTGAAGAGTTTACACGAAGGGACTGGTCGCAGGGACTTGCCCCACGAACAGTTCACACGAAGCGTTTCGAGGAACAAGTCGCAGGGACTTGTCCCAAAAATTCAAACCAGTTTGAATTCGTGGGACTAGTCGTAGGGACTAAATTTTTAGTCCCTGCGATTAGATTTTGTTATAAAAATGGCTAGTTCACACGATGACACTTGTCCCTGCGACAAGTTGCAGGGACAAGTCCCCTCGTGTAGTGGACTTTAGATCTGAGTACGAGAACGACTTTCCAAATTATTCTATTATTGCAGGCTTCACATTACTACGTTACGTACCCGTCTCATCCCATGATCTACCCTCTGTACCAGAAACCGACATGAAGAGCGAGGGCTCTGAAAACGTCACTGTTTTGAAATTCGAAAATCGTACTCGTGGTCCAAAGGTCTCCTTTGTCTGGTGTAAGAAAATCAATTTTTCACAGACTGGTCAAATCTAGTATTGTGGAGGAAACGCAAAATAAGTAAGAGGAATAAGGCGTGGCTCGCACTTGCTCACATCATGTTTTGAAATCTCCTAATGTGTCCATTCAAGCATTGCGTGGTAAGTTGTCGGGGACGCCTAGAATAACAAAAGGTTTATCAGCAGAATGATAGTTTTGCACTTGCTTTGGACAACTTGGTAAGGTTCTCAGTTGTCTTCTGCAAAACAACGTACAACTTGCAATAACTGATAAAATTGCCTCAAAATAATCACGTTCCAAAATGTATCTTAAAACTATGTTTGACGCCATGAAAGTTTTATTTACTCCCTTTCTCGCGATCCTGTGAACGAGAGGTTTTCGTAAGATCACTCTGACACCATAGTTAAAGTCAGTTTTGCACTTTGAGCGCTTTTTTTTAACAAAAAATCAGATGCTTGTTAGTATTGCAAACAAATTTATTGTCAAGCTTAATTAACGTACATTG